TCTGGAGGCAAACAGTTCACTGATCATGAGTTTCAAGAGAGAGAGAGTATCAGATGGTCCCCCTCCTCCTGGGCAGGCCTTAACTTATATAGATCTTATGACCTCATTTACCTGATCCAATGAAGGCCAGCAACTGATGGCTGCCAGTCAACCAATTTGAAATGCATCACTGGGTGCTGGGTAGACTGGCAGGGGCCTTAACCCCCCCCCAGTCATGTTGACATTGCTTAGAACAATAGGGAGCTTAAGTTCCTCACCCAGGTGTGTGATGCCAGTCATGTAGACAGAGGGAGCAGGTTTCCCCTCCCCCCTCAGGAATGTATCCAGCGCTGGTTACAACTCAGGGTTACCTGAAGCAGATGGGATCAGTGGAGTTTGCCCTCTGCAGTGACCATGGTAACCAAATAGTCAGATAGCAGAGTTCGGAGAGAGACAGAGATGGTATTCTGCCACATCCTTCACTGAAGATACATGAAACACAAAAGTGTCCCAATTAAGGTGACACAGCACTTATGCTAGCATTTTCATTTGCAGAGTGCTTTTCAGGCAAACTTACAATGTAAATCATGAGGCAGGAGGCTGGGGGAAAAGGAACAGAAAATAGTTATAGCAAACACAATGACTCATTCTACACAAATCACAGTTTGTGATCAGGGAGTATTTTTGACAAAGTTGCATGTTGCTAACCCTTTTGTTCTTAGCAGTTAGCCAATATTTTGGGGAGATGGAGGGGGTGCTTGTGGGCTATTTCTATAAGGTGAGTCAAGGGTGTTTTTTTTTGTGCAGAATCCTGTTTATTTCCAGAGAATGAACACAAAGGACTGTTGCCCTAAACACAGTAGAAACAAGCAACAGGATGGGCACATCCAGATGAGCGCACATGTACATTTCCCTGGGGACAAATAAAAGCAGCACATACTTGTGCCACTGCTACTTGTCCCCAGGGGAACACCCCTGCACGTGCGCTCTGGTGCATGGCAAGTTGCCCCAGGTGGGGTAGGGGAGGCTGGGGCCAGAATTTGGGCTGGCCCCACCAGCCTTACCTGTGGTCCTGGGGGCCTTCTGGGGCTCTAGTGGTGGTAATCTAGCAGCAGGGAACTTGGCTGGCAATCAGGGTATGGCTCTAGCCGTCCAGGTTCTGGTTTTGGGCAGTGCATGTTGCCATCATGTGTGCTGCCCTGCTTTTTTGTAGCATGGATTTTGACACCAGGATCTCGCAGTGTCAACCCTCCCCCTGCGCTGCAAATTAGCAGTATAAGGGTGCCTGCATGAGCAGCATGTGCAGTGGGTGGCACTGCAGATGGGTCTGCAGCACTGCATCCTGCATGTGTGCTCTCATCTGGACACGCCTGATATGGCTTCTTTGCATCCAATTCCAAGCCTTTCTTAAAGCTCTTTGCCTTGACTGCCTAGTGCTATGCTACCTGTTCTTCTTTCATTTTCTTTTGCCTTTTTTACTTCTGACACATGCAGTTGCCACCCAGGCTGAATTCACCCTACTCCCTGAATTTCTAGTGGGTCCCCAAGGCACCTCTCCTTATTCTGTATAATATAGGCCTTGCTCTTGCTTTCCTTGGGGATAGTGCTTCAGGTGGTTGCTGTTAGTGTTTCAGCTGCATCACTAAGGCTAGGGACAGAAAAAAAAAGCCTGAGCCTAAATTGATTAATTCTTTGCAGGTTAGTCTACGCTGCACAGCTTAAACTGATTAATAACTGGACAGACATTAAACCAGGAAATGCAGCCACATGCTTGCAGTGGCTCAAGCCAGAAGCCAAGGGGTGCTAGAGCATGCCTGCCAGCCATTGCCAAAGGAGAGGGAAGAGAGACACCCTCCAAGGCTCTCACCCCTCCCTGCCGGAGCAGAGTGGGTATGGCCAGGCACTAGCCTGGGGCTAGCAGGACATGCAGGATGGCAGCCACCAGCCAGAGGTGGGGGGGAGCTGCTGCCAGACTGAGGAGTGGAGATGGGGAAAAAGTCCTTTCTCTGAAGCAAGCATGTATTGAGCACAACAATTTGCAAAGCATACAACAGGAAACTACCAAAACTCTTCACATAAACTAAGATACAGCCCAGTAAAACACAGCATACACAACTTACTCTAACTTAAAATGTAAAGCAGAAAGACAAGATAAAGCTTTGCATAAGTCTTACTAATCCTGAGGGCAGAGTGTCTCCTTATAGCTAGACATTTAGAAAGGCTTTGTTTAGGCTTGACAGATTCTGCTTTATAATGTAAATGTAGCTCTCTGCGTTCTTTGGTCTGCAATTTCCAGCCAGAAGCTGTCTGCAGCTTCCCTTAACTCCATCTCCAACACATATGTGTGATAATGATTGTCAGCTCTTTGCCAACACTTCCCACCTCTCAGCCTGGTCCTACAGGTCTTAGCTCTGGGCTCACAGGTGCAGGTCTTGCCTCTCTTCCCGCTCTGGGACTGCTGTGGAATTAATCCCCTACCTGGCTGCAGGCAAGCTAGACAGAGGGAGGAATTAACTCTGTCTCTGTCTGGCTGCAGGAAAGCCATGGAGGTGCAGCTGGGGCTGGCAGACCCCAGCTTCAGTCCACAGGGTTTGCCAGCAGCCAGGGTGGGGGAGGGGGGCGGGAAGGGAACGGAGGGTGGAATTCGTATTGGGGCCAGGGTTGGGCCACGCCCTACCCCTAGTCTGGCTACAGACCAGAGGGGAGGGGCTAGTCCTGCTGTGGAACAGGGAGCCCCACCCAGCCCAGAGAGCATGCTGGGGGTCTCTGATTTAACTTAAACCAGCAAGGGGTCTGGGACAGACATTGCATAAATCAGTTTCAGCCAAATCAGTTAAGTCTGATACTACATTCAACAAGGTTTATCTCAAACCAGTTTTGGCCATTTTCAAGCTAGTTTATGTGCACTGTCTGTTCTGTTACAGGTTTAAACCAGTTTCTGATCACTTAAGCCAGTGTAATGTGTAATGTCTGTGCCTAGCTTAGATGTAGAAGTTCTAATGATTTTTCCCCCACATTTAGCCAAAAAAAAAAAAAGGCCATTAGCATTCCCATTGGCCTCAGAGGTCTACTGCTACCCTTAGCTTAAAGACATACTGGCAGCTATCAACACCATTCCTTACAACAATACATAGTCTCAATGCCTGGCTCACAATTAAAGTGGATCATCTAAAAACAAAACAACCCCTTCCCCAAAAAAACAGTATTTCCAAGTTCATAAAGATAGTATGCAAATATAATACAGAATAAACAATGAAATTGTTAGGTTCAACACAAACAGCCTTTGCTATGAATTCAGACATGAAAGTTAATGTGTTATCACTTTTGAATCTTTGGTGACTAAAGCACTTAGTAAAACATATAGTAAAAAACTGGAACAGGTTATCCAGACAGGTGGTGGAATCACCCAGCTAGACAAAGCCTGGGCTGGGATGATCCAGTTGGGGATGGTCCTGCTTTAAGCAAGGGGTTGGACTAGATGACCTCCTAAGGGTCCTTCCAATACTAATTTTCTATGAATCCCTTTGGGAAGTGCTTCATTCCTGCCTCACTGAAGGGTCATATACAGTACAAACCTTGTTACAGCATTGTGCTAGGCTTTGTGGTAGAAAGATAAGAGAAGAAGGAAGTGCCACAGCAGGGGAGAGAGTCAGGGTGTTCTTTGCAGGTTCAGATAATTCTGCTGCTCCTATCCCAGCAAAGCCACAATAAGAACTCCCCATTGCTGCCACTGCAAATTTAGAGCAGTCAGTAGTGTTATCTCACCTCTCCACTTCCTCTTTTCAGGGGATTTCTGGCCAAGATCCACATAGGCCAGAAAACACTAGGACTCTCCACCCTCACTCCCTACCTCCAACCCCCACTCCCCTCCCCACACCCCATCTGATTCCTCAAGCTGCTGTGCAGTTGTGTGAGCCAGATTGAATGGCTTCTTGTTTTATCTCAGTAATGCTTAACTTCTTGCCCATGGAGCCATGTCATCTGGCCATTGGAGCTCCCCATGGGTCTGGAAATTTGACAGTGGGGAAAGTGGTAGCCATATTGCTCTCAGAGCCTCAGAAATTAACACTGCTACACTACTTCTCTGTCTCTGAGAAGTACCGTGGTCCAGATGACAGCTCTGGGTACCAGATCACACTGACATATAGCTGCTCTTCAGCTGGATGCGCCATGCAGGGTTGGGCTTGTGGTCAAATGGGGACCAGGCTGTGGCCAGATCGGGGACATGGGATCACACTTGAGTGCTGGATGGCACCTGTGGACCTACCCCATGCAAGAACTGGCCTGTATACTGGCTCTGCCCCACTCATCTGGCCTGTCCAGCTGTAGAGACTGAGCACTACTGATCTAGCTAGACTCTCACTTTCTGTTCCCTGTGTGTGCACTTGGTTTCTCTTCCCTTGCTGCAGCGCTTCTGTTATTTTTGCTGGATTCCATTCAGTTATCTAGTGCCAAGTGCCCCAATATTAAGATCCTTTTGAACTGAAGTCATTAATTAATATATATAACAGCATTGGACCCAGAAATCTAGATCCCTGTGTAACCCTCGTGAAGCATTCTGCCATTCTAACAGAGCTAGCTATAGTTACTCTGCTTGTGATTATTTACTCAATTTATGTATCTATCCAACAGTAATTCTACATAGTGCATGTTTCCCCAGTTCTCTTATGAGAATGTCATGTGGGACTGTTTTCAAAAGTCCAAGTATATTATTCCCACTCCAGTCTCTTCATTCACCAAGTTAGTTCCTGTGTCAAAGGATGACATGCTCCAAAAGAGTGCCATTTTTCTGAGATATTTAGGGATAGCTATTAGGGCTGTGAGAAGCTTCGGTCACCAATTTGATTCAGTGGAGATTAAAGCCCAATTTGGTGGCCGAATCTCCAAATCGGAATTGTACAGTTAAAAGTTCACTACTATAGCCCAACCAGAAGAAAAGTTCTATTTCTAGCAACTCATTGACATCATTATTCTAAAAATAGTTTTATTGATCTTTTATTTTGTAGCGTGATAATCCATGAAGATCACATCAGGAATGGAGCAAATCATCCCACTTAGGAAAGAGACAATGCATAATGTACACATTCTGTAAAGAAAATGTTTTATTTAAAGTGTTAAATACCATCACCAGAATGAATTTGATTTACATTAGTTGGTGTTCATTACAGGCCTAATCTGCCCTTTTTTTCCCCCAACTGTAATTCCTTTTAACTTTTAAAACGTACTATGTACAAGACAGCAGTGATCACTGGAATAGTGCTATTTACATGACTAAATCATAAGTAGAGTTGCAGACCTGAAAATTAAAAAAAATTACATTAATTTTTAAAATAAATACTGCATAATGACAAGTATGTACAAACCTTCTGTACGGTCACATCCTTCACTTTAAAAATTAGAAATAATTTATATAGGAATATGCATACAAGAATGTGTGACTGCATCTCACAGTATCAGAATGGTTATGTATCTTGTTTTAATCTAGGGGATATTGTCTGTATGTTTTTTAATATTTATTTGTTGCTGGTACATAAGTATCTAAATTATTTCAATAAATATTTTTTATTAGTCTGTTCATTAACTTAACATTGATCCATTATATAATCTCAGGATGACAAGACACAGTCTTGATGTATATCATATTGCACCAAAACGTAAAAGGCATTTTTAAGTGTTATCTATTGATGTTTCTGTGCTCTTACGAGGCACAGACAGTTTTCTAATGGGCAACATAATAGATTTTGAAACAAAGTCAGAAGAATTCTGTTATGTATGGCCTTAATTTAAAGATAAATATAATATATTTTAGAAATTATTGCAAGGTTTCAACATTAAACCTTATGTATGAATTAAAGGCATATAGAGACCCAAAAGAGGGACAGTTTTCATTAAATGTTAGCCAGTTATATTCCCTTTAATTAGAAGTTAATGAGAAATCTGAACATGTAGCACCACCCAATGGTAGTAACTGCCTGTTACATTAGAGACAAGTATTTTGAGATCTGTTGACTCTGCACTGAGGCTTTTGGTGATGGTGTCAAATAGCTGTTCGATTGTTAATATTCAAATTTCTTTAAGGCGATTACAAACGAAAGTTTGACATTTTTATGGCAGACTGATAATCCCTAATTGTCTCTGCCATCACAAATATTAGTTCAAGAAAAATTGAACTTTACAGCGGAAGAATTATAATCAGTAGCAACCTTTGCTGTTTCTTATATGTCCAAATAGGTAGCAATTTATTTGTCTAAGTGCAAATGAAACTGTTGAAATTTAGCTAATAAAAATCAGACTTCCAGTTCATTTTTTTCCTCTCTCCAAAACCTTCAAGAATGATTGTTCAACCCTTGAATGAACAATGCTGGTGCTGAAAACAAATTTATTGAAGACATCTTACAATGGCCACATGATTCCAGTATTTTGCTGTAGAATTCAATTTGAAGGTGAGAAAAAATGAAAATAAGTTACCATGCACTGTACAATAAATTGCAAAAAGTTCAAATATTTTCTTTATCAAATGCATGCTGAATTACTTTAATGTACTCCCAAGCCATGTTGCAAAATCCTTTTCAACATGCTTGAAAAAAGTAAGTTCTTAAACAATATTTTTCTCAAAGAATTCAGGAACGCAGAATAATCTGCAACCCTGAACCAATAATGGGGCATAAGAGAATAGTAAGTCAAAAGGTAGCTGTTTTGAATATGATAATCCTGGGAGACAGGAAGGGGGCAAAAAGCAAAAGGAAAAGGGAGTTTGGGTGGAGAGACAGAGAAAGAAGAAGGGAAAAGAAGTGTACAATTTGCACATAATGTTGAACTTTACAAGGCTTGTACCTTTTACATTTAAATAAATTTAATATATTACACTTATTCCTTGTCACATAAACAGAATTTTAAATATTTGCTAGAAATTATTTTTTATTTTTAATATACGTCTGCAAAAACACAGACCATGACTGGTTTAAAGAATGATAAACGTGGTGTGTCTTTGTATCACCCTGTTGCATTCTCTCCCTTTTAAAACCATGCACTAGTGAAATTTATTTTTAAAAATAATATAAATTGTTGAAAATGGCTGATTTATTCTTTTTTTTTTTTGCAAGTTGCAGCCCCAAGAAAATAATTTAAGTGTTCAGCTAAATCTGTGTCCATGCAAAAAAGTTTCTTTAATTTCATACAGTACAGTATATCCACAGAATTTTATTTTTTAGAGTCCATTGCGTCTGGGGTTTCACTGTAGCAATAGCGGGAGCTATGAAGCCTGCCACTTTAAGTCTTGAACCTTTCTAGTATGAAGAGTTTGCTCTGGTCTTAAATGACTGTTCCAAACATCAGCTGACTTTTCTTTTCCAGCGGCTTTACAGTCTTCCACTGTTCTTCTCATGTCTACTATTCCACTGACTTGTAACATGGCTTCATGGGAGAGTAAATTCCATTTCTGTGGCATAACCAAGCTTGGGGGGGGGGGGCAGATAAAGAAAAGGGAGCAACAAAATAGATATGCCATTGAAAGGGACTTTTGTTGCATGAAACAGATTGATTCTTTTAGTTTAATCCATGGCTTCAGATTGGACCAAAACTGAGTGTCACTGAACTCCAAACCTGTTAGTTCTTTATAGCTCCACTCCTTCACCTGAGGGCCTTCTTTAGGGCACAATGTGTGCAACTTCCTCTGAGAACACAGGATCGCTTTGTAGCCCTAGAAACAGGCTCAGAAGACACAACATTAAGCATGCAGTGTTACCAGGGTTTGCGACCTGTAAATTTTTTTTGTAACGCTGGTTGCTATGACAGTTTCACAGCTGCTATGAGCGAGCATAAGAAGGTCCTGTTGAACTTTCAAGAGATGATTGGGAAGCTCTTCTAGTGAGAGGGGCTAAGGTTGGATCTACTAAGGAGGAAGGGGGGAAGAGTTTGAACCACCCAATCACCATATTGGACAAGTCCAGTTCGTCTAAAAGTATCTGTGCCACTCCCATAAAAGATTTGTGATCCATACGTCCATAGTCTCCCCAAACAATTATCTGTTGGTAAAGAAAATAGAGATTTCAGAATCAAATAAGAAAGAGCGTGATCTAATGCAGCTGATTCTTCAGATGCACCCAGTTACTTATTAAAAGATAAGTAATTCTAATGAAAGATAAATTTTCACGTGATTTAGCTTTCAATCTGCTATAGTGGTACAGCAGTAAATGTAACCCAGGCTGTAAACCCATGCAACTGGATAAAAAGGAAGCAGAAAATTGAGGTGCACTGTGAAATGGAGCCCATACATTTGGTATAGGTGACATATACTAGTTTAATATAGTATTAATATGCACAGAGCACTTCTTTACTGGCTAAATCATCAATAGAACATAACAGATTGTCATGGTAGCAATTTGCTCTGTAAGGGTTTGAAATAGAAAGGCTCACAGAATAAATCGCAGAAGTCCTGAGCTCGTTCAGTGACAGTACAAGTGAAACATGTTCAGATACACAAGAATATTCATGAACTTACCTGTAAAACTTTTCCTTGGGGACTTTCTTCAAATGACAAAAGTTGCTGGTAAAGAGGTTCCAGCGTTTTTCTTGCTACTTTTGTTTTCTTTTTGGCTATGCAGACTCCATTTTCTAATAAATACACCTTTACATATGGTGCTTAGGAAGAGAAAGAAGAAGAATAAGTGAAAGGCAAATGCAGACTTTCGCACACTAGCTCCAATATTTAATACTATAGAGATCTGTCATTTTGTACATAAATGCATTAACTGAGCAAGTCCTTGCACGTAGTATTTATTAATACTTATTCCCATTTAACATGTTGGTATCTTTTGGATAGCCAGCCTTCTCTACATTCCTCCCTTATTTGTAATATATATTTGATAAAACAATTCAATTTTTTGAACTGAAAGGATTCTGGCACTAAATGGTACTAAAAAGTACTACATGTCCATTTGGTCCATTTGAAAGACAAATTATTGGAACGCATGCACTGACTTTAGCGAGTTTTGAAGCAAGCACCTAAACAGTTCTTTTGAAATAATGTACAATGGGAAAAGTCATGCCCCTGAAATGCCATCTATTCTGGTAGGACAGCCTGGTGAACATATTTCCACACTGTTCCTTTCATAAGCAGCTGTATACAAACACAGTAGGACAATACATTTGCTAAAGAGAAGAAAATAAGTAGCAGGTTCCTACCTTTTTCAAGGTGGGGACCTATTGCAATCATTTGGTTAATTTTTTCCTCTCCCACAATTACTTATATCAGGTCTTTCCAACTTCTGAGCAGCCGGGGGCCACACCTATGTGAGCCGCAGTCCCAGTGGCTACATAAGGTGCAGGCCACAGACCAAGGGCTGCTAATGGCATAGGTGGCCACACTCAGGCTCTCCATGACAGCCCAGCATGTTCCCTCCCCACCATGCACAGAGCCAGGCAGCCTGGCTCTATGCCCCCTGGGTGCATGTGCCAGACAAGCAACTCAGCTTTCCACCCCCACCACATACACAGAATCCCCCTTCCTCTCTTGACCATGTAACCCCCTACAGTACAGGCAGCCCAGCTCCAGCCTCCCTCATGCACAGCAGGAGGAGACCATCCCCATCTCCCACCACACCACTACTTAACCAACCTGCCAAGATCAGGGGCAGGACGTAGAAGCCGGAGGAGGGTGGGGGAGCCTGAAGAACCCAGCTGTTGTGGCAGAAGCAACACCAGGGTGGGGGAGGCAGTGGCAACTGTGACAAGAGCCTGTAAGGTGAATACTAACCCTTCAGGGGTCACTGAAGCCACCACCCGTTGAACAGTCCTGGCTTATAGCTTCAAAAACAGGTTTAATTTGCTATATAATAATTTTTGTCCCTATTAATTGCCTAGAATACATCATCACGATTTTTGTGAAGACAGAGTTGAAAATAAACACTTAGATTTACCGTAGTCTTTCATACAAGCTCAGTACTTTTTTACAACTGTATAACCCACTACATTTTCTAGAGAACTTAGTGTTTTAGCACGGTATTTCTATTCATGTAAACTGGATACTTTTTTTCTTACCTGGCAGTGTCTTTGAACCTGGTTTTACAACAAGGCCACGGGCTCGTATTATTTCTACCTCCAACTGTCCTTTTTTGTCCATCATTCCTACCTGGATATCACCTGAAAAAGAAAATCTCCATGAACTGCAACTGAAAAATATCCAATTCTATTATAACTTGTGACCTTATTATGGAATTAATGTGTGACAATTTGCGTCCTTCCCATGAAATCAAAATTTTCAACAAGGAATTAAATAATCTTTTATAACTGATGTTAAGACTTGTACTTTTCACTGGTACGATACATGCTCATCTTATATTTCTTGGAAGTAAATTAATTTTCTCTTTATAAACTTCTGTGAGCACAGAGCCACTAAAAGTACAGTTAGAAAATGCATTTGCACTAACCAGCATTTCAATACAGGCTGAAAAATGCTACATAAAGGTAGACAAGTATTAAAATATCCATTTTACAGACAGAGAAACAGACAACAGAGATAAAGGTACAAACAGTCAAAACTGACCCTCTAGTTATATTTTCTAATTAATGCAGACTTTTACAGTGTCTCTGTATTTCAGTGTCAAACGTTAGGTACCTAGACACTGATTTTAAGAGGTGTTAAGTCACCAACTTTATCCATGAAATGAATCAACTTAATCAGAAGTTGAACCCAGAGTTCAAGCAACTTTTGGAAATTTGGCTCTGAGTGGGGCAAGAATGTATGGCAAATCCAAGGCAGAGCCAGAGCTAGAACTAAGATCACTTGATTCCCAATTCTGTGTTTTGATTACAAACCAATAATATTATGCTGAGAGCACAGGACACGCATGCTTACCCATAGATGGTGTCGCCAGTGTCTGGCGCCCTACAAGTTGGGCAGGACCAAGTCCATCCAGAAAATCACTGAACTGGCTGTCTGCAGCCAACCGCACACCAGGGAAAATCAGACTGAAAGAAATGTATCACAAATTATCAAAAGAGTTTTAGCAGAGAAGCTTAAATTTACCCTTTGCTATTTTCCACCCTTTTCCACTTTAGTGACAATGTTGATATTTTTGTCAACCATGTCATAAAAACTTGCTATCACTGACAAGACTGTAACAGCTTTATAAACTACCCTATCGTATTCAACCAATAGCAATTCAGGACCCCACATAGTTGAATAAGTCAAGCCTTCTCTCGCTCAGACATTTCTCCATATTCATATGGGCCTAGACTGAAACAGGCACATAGCAAGTGATTACCTGAAAGTTTGTGAACATTAACATTAAAGTAAAAGTTTTCAACAAATACTATTCACATTTCTAAGGAAAATTATTCTGTTTCCTTTCTACCTGCATTCAAGCAAGTGAGTGCTAATGATCTAATGATTTATGAAACAGCGAACTGTCACTGAATCTTGCACAATATTAATAGAAACAAATTTAAATATCAGTCATGGGTGTAGGTTGTAGCCATGTTGATCTAAGGACATAGGCAGATGAGATTCTTTGGGTAAATCTAATATCTTTTATTAGACCAACTCAAATAGTTGGAAAAAATCTTTACAAGCTTTTGGGTACAATTACCCTTTGTCAGGCAGAGGAAGCATCTGCAGATCAATATCAGTCATGGGTATTTGAATCTGAAATCTCACTATGAGGCTTGGGAAACAACTCACATTTCAAGCACAAAGCCAGAAATTGCTTTTAAATAGCTACAGATAAAAATTTCACAGAAACCATTTGGCCAATAATAGTTTAAAAAAAATCTTTTTTGTGGACAATTGATTAGAACTTTCTACCTACATGGTGGGCACCTTCCTACCTAGGCAGTGAGCAGTTCCCTCCATGCACTGTTTTATTCAGGGAAAACTCTCTCTGGCAAAAGAGTTTAAAATAGGAATTTACCCATGTAGGAACTTTAAGATTCAACTCGCCAACTTTTATCAAGACCAACTTGGCGGAGAAACAAAATAAAAGATTATATAAGTAGCAATCTTTCTTACTTTCCTTCAGAGCTGTAGCTATTCATGCTACCATCTGTAGATTCCCGGCTGGCCTGACGAGTCATCCAGTTTCTCATCTCCACAGCCAGTCCAGTTTCTGTGCTTCTCTGAACTGTGCTCCGCAGTTTCTTCCCACCTGCTTCTGTAGAAACATAACAGAATAATCGGTGGTCTCATTAGAACAAATGAATATATTTAGAGGAGGATAATACAGATGATTAAGTACCTAGTTTGTAGAGAGAGAGACAGTAACAATTTGCAAATACATACCAAATTGTATTTTAAAAATAGTGTGCACACAAATTCCAGCAATAGACAATTTGCTAGAAAAAATAGCAGACTTATATTGTTATAGATCTTTTAATTATATTAGTTTAGAGCACTACTGCTTTTCATGGCAGTAATGAGGCAGAGAAAGCACATAAAAACCCGTGGATCTTAGAAGCATATTCAGCTTATACAGGTAACCAGACTTACTACGTGCATAACTGAGTGTACTTAAAAATATAATTTCCTTGGATAAATACATCCCCTCCAACTCTTCCATTAAATTAAAACTTACAATGTCTCAGGAATGCTCTAATGCAGCTGAATTATTGTGTTAAAACAGATGTGGCCATGATTAGTTAAATGAAGTTATCTACTAATGAAGGTGGTAAACAACAAAATAAGAGTTCTTCTTTACATTTCTACTTTTTCTTTCCTTCTCTCTTTTTATTAGTTTTTTATCTAGGTATCACACAAGAAGTATAGCTTATGCTTAATTTTTCCTGAACAATCCCTGGTAATTTTTCATTTCTGAAGTAGTAGTCAGTGATAATATATATATAGCATTTAGATTTAGATGTGAAGACATCCATAAAGATGAATTGATGGACAAGAGGGAAAAAAGCCCTAATGAAGTAGGAATTTTGGTGTGATGATTTGTTATTGGGAATTCTGATCAAGTCCCAGATGATATACAGGTTGTCAGCTTCAGCCAAAAAATTTACAATGGAAGGAATGTGAAGACTGGACTTCCCTATTCCAAAACTATGTGTGTTCCTTTCCAGCCATGCCTGAGATGCATTGGTATCTTTAAAGCCATACAGCTGTGCAGGAAAGCTTGCATTCCAGTTTTGTGTACCTGTTTTGTGAATAAAGAACTAAAGCCTATAAATTAAGACTTTTACTTGTCATCATTACAGTATACATGAGCAACAACAGAACTATTCACTTTACTGCAAAACCTGAGTCACTTACCTCATTTTTCTCTAAATCAAAACTAATTAAGAGTCAATCCATCAATATAGAGATAATAAACATACAGGAAAGAAGCTAAAAACTTGATATTATCTTTGAAAAGCCAGAGAGAAAAGCAAAAAAAAACCCATTCATTTATCTCTGCTTGTGCTGTTCCAAGTGTCTGCTGTGTTTATAATTTAGATTAAACTAATGGAAACTGACAGCTCACTTCCAGCACTGCTCCCGATCTTATCTAAAATCCAATCAATTTGACAGGAACAAAGATATATTTTTACATAGCTACCTGGCCAAATAGGCATCTTTTGCACATTGTGTTACAGTACAATCCATATAAAATGCACACAATACCAAAGCCATATGTTTGCTTCATTAGGGGACTAGTTATATTGCATCTTTTGTATGCATTCATTACATCACTCTGTTAATTTTTGTTCAGTTTTGGCTGTATTGCAAGTCATTTCCAGTTCATTGTTGTAACATTCTGACACAAACATGACACATCACCTCCATGGTGCATGATTCAACAAGGCAACTACATGTCTTTAGAACTCATCTTTATTATTTATGCAGTTAAGATCAAGCCTAAATGCTTTTAACTGAGTAGATAAATATTACTGTTAGTCACGTTAGGACAGTCTGTACCAACTGGCAATTCTAAATCTCCACACTTTAGACTCCTCAACAAAACTGACATTAAAAATGAACACTTTATGTTGCACAATGATTTGCTGAGCAATTAAAGCAAACATACAAAAATCAGCAGACCAACATCCATTCTGGGCTCAGCAACATTTGCTTCACCTGCTGTTCTGAACGCTGCTGTTGTGGTTTCTGATTTTTAAATATTCTTCCTTTCCCACATTCATTTTATTTAAGACAAGTGGTGTTGACTCAGATGAGATGGGTCAGACCGATGGCTGGAAACAAGGTGCAAATTTGCTATGGCATGGAAACTACCAAACAAAAACTAGCTTTCAGCTCTGGATGGATACAAGTTCCTAGTTTACAATGTCTGACCCCTCCCACAGCCTTGGGGTGAGGTTGGGAGAAAGCACAAGTGCTCAACAGAAACGAAGCTACAGCTGTCTTATTATGGTCTCTGCCCTTTCAGCCACATTGTCGCTAGTCACGAAGCTTATGCTTCTTGAGTACAAGAATATAGATGAAAACTTAAAGGGGAATATAGTTGCTTTTAATAAAAGTATAATGGAAAGCCTCAACTGACAGATATGTCTCTTGCATCACTGTGTCAGGGAATCAAGAGCATGTTTAGTATAAACTCTTTTAGCATAAATTGATTGTGTTGGGAAGGTCTATACTTGATTCCCTTGGGCACCACAACTGGGGAAATGGAGCTAAATTAACTAGAGAGGCAATCTAATAAGACTCACACAACTCATCAGGCCAATTAAAGAGGACAACTTTTTCTGTGATTTATGAACTTTGTTTCATGAAAATATGAAAAAGTATTAAAAACATTAAACAAATTTATTAGTACGAAAATGCACAACAATTAATGTTTAATGTTAAAGTATTAAAGTAATAATTTAATGTTGACCTAATAAACAGTGTTTGAGAGGAGCCAATTTAGATTATTATTCAGAGCAATGTATTATATAGTTATGTTAACTTCACATACAAAGGGAAATAATTTTTTTTTTAAAACTTTCAAAAACAAAACAAGGTAGAAATTAGAAGATTTTTGCCTGGGGCTTGCGAAATACATTGTTATCCCCTCAAAATATAAACAATAATTCTGACTATATTACTACAGTTTTACTAAAGAAAATTGAACACAGCATCTGTTGAAATAAATTGTATCTAACTGCCCTAGAAATAAGCAATATGTCATGTCTGGGTTGTAAAATACAGCACAAATTATTAGAAAAAAAGGAGTTCAAATTCTTGTGGCCTTATAGTAGAGTGGAACAAATTACCAGAAATTACCAGAAATAACTGTTTTGGCATTTATGAGAGCACATTCATTCTTGTTGTTAATTACACTTTTAATGTAACTAATGTGTTTACTGTAAATAGATTTAACAGGCCACATTTTCTAAAATTGCATGCAAAATTATTTGTGCCTATGTTTTCTTATTGAAAATCATCCATAAACTGAATGTAAAAGAAGCCTAGATGAGGCCGATTTGAAAATGTAACTCACTGGAATATATTCTTGCCTGAGATCTGGAACCTGTCCAGCTAAGAACTCCCCCAGTGGGAGAGGGGAGCTGTTGGCTGATACACAGCCATTTGAATAGACACTTGCTACAACTTCCTTGACTCCAGCATAGAAAGACAGGTGCAGAGAAAGACAGTTTTACAGGTGGGAAGCCGTAACCAATAGCTTGAGTACTGTCAGCTCCCACACTAAGAAGATCTCACTACTGGAGGGAACCTAGCTGAAGAGTGGGCAAAGCTCGGCCCGTGGGCCGGATTGGGACTGCAGCAGACTCCATTCCCACGGAGCCCCCAGCAGTGGTGGAGCTGTGACAGTGCAGGGCCAGGATTTCAATGGAGACCAGCCCCATAAGTCCTGGTAGGGCAAGCAGTTGGGTGGGGAACTGCTCTAGGGCTGGGATCTCATGGTGAGGACAGCATGGTCCAGAGCCAGGGCAGAACCGCGACCTGCTAATGGCATGCCCTGGGCTAGATTTCATTTTGTAGCAAGAGAGGAATTTTTTCATTTTGCTCAGTGGTTTGTTCTATTTCACCTCTTATAACAACCTGGAAACCTGGTTCATGGTGACTGATTATGGACTCTGAACTACCGGCAGTAACTTCATTTGAATGGAACACAAAATGGAAGTCTTGAGCGCTTGTGTTCATAAAAGTTCTCATAATATTTTTGCAAACGTAGAGATGCTAACTGCATTTTCTGACCAAAATTCCAATGATGTTATGCAGTTTTTGCCTGTCTGGAATCCCTCTGCCATCTGGATTAGATTATAATCATTAATAAAGAATGATAGGTCTTCGTGTTGCTTTTAAGACATACCAAAAGCCAACAGAGACCTGTCCAAAATGATTTACTATTACCTTGTCTTCATTTCCCGTCCTACAGAACTGTCTAATATTATGGAGCAATGTTAAACAGCTATTCTTGCTCCTTATACAGGGCCAGGGAAAAACGTCTGCATGTATACATATACATATCAGAGAAAACCACTACATGATTTTTTCTATATAGAGGTTATACACAGTGGGGCAAAACTCCCCTAGATAATAGATTTACTACCAGTAACATGCATACCACGTTGGAAGTCAACCAGAAGGAAGAGCCTTCCTCCATGATGTTACCTCTGCAGGAGCAAAATCAGAGGTCCCTGTCAGCTTGAGGAAGTGGGAAAACCTACTCATTGAGATTGACATACCTACTTATTGAGAGTTTCACTGTTAGGCCTGGTCCTATTTTAGAGGGGACCCTGCTTTACTGTAGGTTCCCTTAACAGACACTCTCTTTCCATGAGGGAATCAATATCTGACACAGCTCTTGACAATGCCAAGGAGTATAATACATCTTAGCCTCCTTTGGAGAAAATGACACTATATAAACAAAAGAACAGTTTAAAATAAATTTATCAGTGTAGCATGGTTAGTTTCATAACTCAACCCCTTACTATTTTCACAGTTAAATTGCTGCTGGCCTTAAGAAACTCGCTGCTTCTTAAGGTACAGCAACTGTAAACCCCACAATGCAATCACAACTTATTTAAGAGAATCGAAATGGAACAATTAATAAACCAATCATGTCATTTTGTAAATGACAAAGATACAGTATTTCTGACCTTCAGGCACAAATATATACTAAGAAAGGAAGTTGTTTGCACTGTATCTTTAGTAGCTTATTAGGTCAAAATAAAATAAAAACATCCCCACTGAGTGATAGAACACTTC